ACATGGGCGTGGCAAAATGACTCGCTAGCGCCACCTTGAAAATTGGAAATGATTAGCCCCTCGTTCACGTTCAACCTACATGTACGAAATTTTCTGGGGACATGTATTATCAAGACGCACAAAAAGCCTCAAGAACCCATAGCCTAAAGTCAACAGGAAGTCGGCCATTTTGAATTTTATGGCCATTTTTGGATGATTTACACACTTCGTACTTTAACGAACTCCTCCTAGGGATTTAGTCGGATCGACGTCAAATTTCTGCTGTGCCTTCTAAAGGCATTGACGATGAAAAGTTGTGCTATTTGCGAGTTTTCGTCAATGGGCGTGTCCGTGGCGTCGATGATTCGCAATGAAACAGGAAGTTGTTGTAACTTCAGTGTACATGCTCACATCTGGACCAAACTGTACATGTAGGATGAGAGTCCCGCCCTGAACACATGTACATGCCGACATTCACCCACAGTCATAGCGCCACCTGCTGGCAACAGAAAGTGACTTTTAACGAAGCAGCCCCCGCCGCACGTTTCACCTACGTGCACGAATTTTCTGTGGTACGTGTATCTTGTCCAGACGCACAAAAAAGCCTCTTGGAGCCATAGCCTAAAATCAACAGGAAGTCGGCCATTTTGAATTTTACGTCAAATTTTGGATGATTTACACACTTCGTACTTTAACGAACTCCTCCTAGGATTTAGTCCGACCGACCTCAAATTTGTGCTGTGCCTTCTAAAGGCATTGAAGATGAAAAGTTGTGCTATTTGCAAGTTTTCGTCAATGGGCGTGTCCGTGGCGTGGCGTCAAAGATCAGCTCTTCGCCATGACACGGAAGTTGTCGTAACTTCAGTGTACATGCTCACATCTGGACCAACTGTACATGTAGGATGAGAGTCCCGCCCTGAACACATGTACATGCTGACATTCACCCACAGTCATAGCGCCACCTGCTGGCAACAGGAAGTGACTTTTAACGAAGCAGCCCCCACCGCACGTTTTACCTACGTGCACGAATTTTCTGTGGTACGTGTATCTTGTCCAGACGCACAAAAAAGCCTCTTGGAGCAATGCCCTAAAATCAACAGGAAGTCGGCCATTTTGAATTTTACGTCAAATTTTGGATGATTTACACACTTCGTACTTTAACGAACTCCTCCTAGGGATTTAGTCCGACCGACCTCAAATTTGTGCTGTGCCTTCTAAAGGCATTGAAGATGAAAAGTTGTGCTATTTGCAAGTTTTCGTCAATGGGCGTGTCCGTGGCGTGGCGTCAAGATCAACTCTTCGCCATGACACGGAAGTTGTTGTAACTTCAGTGTACATGCTCACATCTGCACCAAACTGTACATGTAGGATGAGAGTCCCGCCCTGAACACATGTACATGCTGACATTCACCCACAGTCATAGCGCCACCTGCTGGCAACAGGAAGTGACCTTTAACAAAGCAGCCCCGCCGCACGTTTCACCTACGTGCACGAATTTTCTGTGGTACGTGTATCTTGTCCAGACGCACAAAAAGCCTCTTGGAGCGATGCCCTAAAATCAACAGGAAGTCGGCCATTTTGAATTTTACGTCAAATTTTGGATGATTTACACACTTCGTACTTTAACGAACTCCTCCTAGGGATTTAGTCCGACCGACTTCAAATTTGTGCTGTGCCTTCTAAAGGCATTGAAGATGAAAAGTTGTGCTATTTGCGAGTTTTCGTCAATGGGTGTGTCCGTGGCGTGGCGTCAGAGATCAAGTCTTCGCCATGACACAGGAAGTTGTTGTAACTTCAGTGTACATGCTCACATCTTAACCAAACTTTACGTGCTTGATAACTCTCCTATCCCGCTATGGAGGACCGATCCTGACACAGTCAGAAATAAATACAGAAATAAATAAATGCTCAATAAATAAATAAGCATCCAATTAAATACACAAAAAATAAAGTAAATAAATAAATGTAGGTAGTAATTAAATTATACAAGGAGACATAAATGTATATATTTTAATTAGTGCCTTTACTTATTCACCTTTGTTATAATTACCTTATTTGTTTATTCAACTTTATTTATTACTAATTTTTTAAATGTATTTATTTATGTGTGTGTTTTAATATTTTTGTCTGTTTTATTCTTCCTTTGTATTTATTTACCTTATTTATTTTCACCCATGGTATTTATTTCTGCCTGTCTTTTTAAATTTTTGTATGCATTTCTGCCTCATTATGCAAATGAGGAGGGGCTGTGTCTCAAGGGGTCATCTTCTCTGCTATTGGTGGACCAGTCAGACAGGAGAGCTCCTACTCTGCCTGCAGACATCAACGATCTTGCCCCTCACACAGTCAGATGACTTCCTTCAGTGCGCTGAGGTGTTTAACAACTCTGAAGACAATACTACCAGCAATGTCTTCCTTCTCTTTTCACGTAGACGCTCCGACAGACAGTGCTTTCAGTTTGCTGCATGCATGGACACAGAACTGCGGTATAGGGAGAAGCACACGGTCAGCTGGCTGCAGCTAAATCTGGAGTGCACTCATATTCAATTCTGTATGGTAAATTCAGTTTTAACGGAGCAGAGCGAGCTGACAGGCAGAGTTAGAGACTTTTTCTGTCTGTTTCTCTCTTTACAAAGATGCATGTTGCAGTCAGAGTCTTCTCTGAGATGCGAGCACGACATACAACACAATTTATCAAATTACACAACGGACATACAGTATGAAAATAAGATTGATTGGATTATACTCACAGGAAGTATAAAACCTCTTACATGGGTCTATTAAAAGTAAAGTAACACAAAATGTCAGGGAAATTACTTTACTTAGATTTAAGTACTGCAGTTGTACATTTGAAATACCTTCCTACCTTTCTGATAGGAAGCCTTCTTGAGGTGGTATAAAACATTTCTTCTTATATTCTGATTTGAGTTGTGGACAACTATGACCACATGAATTAAAAAAATTAAACATTTCACTGCCCAAGTAAGCTATAACACAAGTCTTGTTCATTAGACTACATGCTGTACAGTATTTGACTACAGATTTTGTCCCAGGATTTATTATGCATTTCTTCTTCTTCGTTGCATGATTTAGAATAATAAGGGGAGAAATGGGTCTATTCTGAGTTCATCCTGCACTGCAGCAGCTAATAAAGTCCATTTAATCCCAAAAACGCTTTTCTTTTAGGCAGGCTGGAGCAGAAAACAACTCACCTTTCTCAAGTTGTACAGTAATGTCACATGTGTATGAAGGTGGATCAAACAAGCTAATCTTAAATGTCAAAGTAGAGAGGATCCTAGTAGGCCTATTTATTTTCATTCATTAGACAATATGAATAAGCTATGCAGACAGTTGTAAAGAAAGAACATCTTTTTCTTCTGTTCTCTACTTGTTATAGTTACACAGTATTAGGGGTGTGGGCTGTATTAAAAGTATCCACTGTTCTCCCATGCTCTAACACACAGTAACGATGAAATGTGTGCTGTTCTCACATTCTTCCTCTGTATGTACACATAAACAACAAGGCAGGGAAATATAAAAGGAATTTATTTTATTGTTTGTGTACATTATTGTTCAGTGTACATGTTCACATCTGAAACAAACTTTACGTGCTTGATAACTCTCCCACCCCGCAGACATCTGCACGCCAATACCGATTTATATTCATAGCGGCAAGTGCTATGTAGCTCCACATAGGGGACACAGGAAGTGACATATAGCACCTTCATGCGGCGTCGGAACCGCGTAGGAAATTCACAGCCGCACCGGCTGAGCTCCAGAATATGCAACTCGGCCGGTTCACGCGCGGACGCGCTACAAGTGCGAGGGCCCGCCCAACGCTGCTTGCAGCTTTAATTTGTCTTGTATTATTAACTCTCTTCCCCAGCCGCAATCTGCAGTTGCACCTTTACCTCTCAATCCTTTTACAAATAATAGAAGAGTCCAATAGACTAATTAGAGAAATACAACAATGAAACTTTAAAGTTACTTACAAATGCAGTCAATACGCTGCCAACAAGATTTGGACGTTGACAGAGGCGTGCACAAACATTTTGTGGGAGAGGGGTTCAAGTGAAAAAAGTGTCCTCTCAATTGATTACTAAAAAACGTTTTTTTAACAAAACGTTACATATATTAAAACATTACACTCACGCAGTTTCATACTCTACAGATTTCTACAGAATTATCAGTTCACACAGAGACCATGGTCTTCTTTAGTATTCCCGAGTGCACGCCCACACACACACACGTGCGCACACATACACACACACAGTAACAATGATGATGGTGACAAGGACTTAGTTTCACATTTGAGGGAGGGCTGTCTGTATCATGTAAAGATCTATCAGCATACAACAAACTAATAGAATGGATAGTTATTAGATGAGGAGCATACGATCAAAATTATGAAGTTACTGTTTAAGGCAGGACACTCTTTTCAGGTAGCAGTGCCGTGATCTGGCACCTCCTCAGTCCTTGTGTTTCCTCTGTCCCTTTCCTTATCGTTCCTGTCAGTCATCGTCGGGCTACTGTGTGTGTGAGAGTTCGTGTGGTCATAGGCAGGGCGCTCCAGCTGAGCTTCTGCAGCGTTCAACACCTGAAGCTCATCCCTTTTATCAACCTCTTCAATAAAGCTACGGCTCAATGTTCCCGTCAGCACCAGATCGTCAATTTAACCCACATTGGTACCAATCTATTTTCTAGATTGTAGGAGTTTTTTGATCCAGCTTTTTGACTGTACTGACTGCCTGTGTTTTTTGCTTGTACTCAGATCTCAGCCCAATTGCAAAGACGCTGCTTGCCAGTCCTTTACTGAGTTTTGGAGCCCTGATTTCATCAATCTGTCCGCTCTCCGCCCCCAGCCCACAGGATCCACTTCTGCATGCATCACGTTAAGTCATCTCTTATGGCGTCAGGGAGTGAGGCTTACTCACTGCAAAACCTAGCTGGCTATCATTACACCCACACCTTTTTTAATATTTTGTAGAAAGAGAGAAAGGGTTTAAAATCACTCAGCTTACCCATTAGAATCAGGACAACTGATATGATCCATCTGGTGCCCATCTTGTCTTCACTTGAATCTATAAAATCAAACAATACAGTAACTTACTCAGAAAAAGAAAGAGCACGTGATAACCTTTTGCGCTACAGTTGCTAGCTACTATAACATCTGCTTTCACTATAATGTTAATGTTGGAATTTCTGTGAGAATACAGCGTATTACAAAATGTCAAGTGGATAATATTTACAATATGCAAACATGTATATGATTTTGTTTGTTCTCTTTCTCCCATTTGTATTTTAAATGAAGTAGATTATTTAAAAGAAAATGCAATTTCGACACCAAATATATTTTACACTTTTAAACAGCGTTGATAAAATTCTACTCTTACTCCTATGAAACTCATCTATGTTTTATTACATTGTATACATGACATTTTCATTAATGTCTAGTTCTGAAAAAATACCATAATAAAATACCCACACTGAGAAAATGTGGCTGTACTGTGGACCAAAAGATTACCAGCACTGTTTCAAATTCTAGTAAATAGGTAGAGTGGCAATTATGTATTTGTTGAAAAGAATTCCCAACACAACACCTAATTTCAGTCTCCTAAAGATAATGCAATACAAAAACAAAAAGAAACGATGTAAAGTTGTCAGAATTTAGTACTTAAACTGAAACCCTTTCTGACAAATTCCACCTGTGTCTATCTTGCTGTCAAATATTTTGCTTCCCATATTTCATCTTCAATTTCTTGAGTCTTTAGATTCCAATTCTCCATCAAATTAGCTAGAACTGATACGTGAATACACGTCAACATGTACTACTTCAAAAAGCAGAGTACTTGAACGTGCAGGTGTGCTGAGTGAGGAAACTGATCTTCAACAAACCTAAAAACTCACATTACATATTGATATTTCATAAATTATTATACTTTTGTTCATCTGAATTTAATTATAGGATGCTGGTGTGTTTGTACCTAAACCAGTGCTTTATTCCACCAAGCTATAAAAACAAAGGCAGATGTGCCATGATAATAGAGATGGGAAAACACTTAAGTAGCACTTGTAATTAGGGAATAAACTACAATATCAGAGAACCTCTAGTATCATAAAATCTAACTGTTAAAGCATTATATAAAAATACAGTATTTTTACATATATAATATTTTGAAAATATACTAATGACTTCATGTGGCAATCACTTATTATCACTTTAGGTATGTGGTAATATACATGAATTACACATAATTTACAAAGAAATAGAAATGCATACATACAATATACAATGAATACATGTAAAAAAGAAAAACAATTCTTAAAACTGTACTTACCCAAAATGAAAAGTTATAATATCCCTTTCTCTATCTGTATCAGTTGTTTGTTTTAAAACTATGTTGGTGTCTTCCACTTCTGTCTAGTTCATAGGTGATACTGTAAAGCTGTCACCTCATGTGACGGTCAACATCTATTAAGGCCTTTATATTGGATTGGAGGCTAACCATGTGACTCATACACTATAAATACTTCAGGAATGTTGATGTGTGACAAACACAAATCACCAGATAGAGAATTTCTAATCTAAACTCAAGTTATTGTTTTTGGCTCCGTATTATTGCACACACCCTTCTTTTGTCCTGTCAAAGAAGGAACTGCTGTATTCCACCAAAATGGAATGTTGAAAGTTTTACCAGCGTGACAAGTTATGACAGTGAAATAAATAGTTTGATAGAGTGAGGAGTGGTGCTGAGGTGAAGCTGTCCTTCAGCCTGCAGAGACTGCCGAAACTTGACATGAGGGGGGTTAAACCATGGAAATGTGTGGCAATAGCACTGAAGTTCCTGATTGATCTTTTTTTTCAAACCCCAGAAGTCATTTAACCAATTTACAACTGGTGGACCACTCTGCCACAGCACTGTCTTCAGCAGGGTACATCAGGATGTGTTCGGCAGAGAAAACAAAACCCAGGGAAGAGACACTAGAGAAATAAACTCACATTTTTGAGTACGGGACGTGCACAGACATTTTCGTGGGCAGGGGCTCAAGTGAAAAAAGGGTAAAAAGACAAATATATTAACTAATTTTTAACTCACATTTTTACTCTTCTAAAAAATAATCACTTCACACAGAGACCACGGTCTTCTTTAGTATTCAATGGGTTTATCACAGAAGCAGGCGACAGAAACGCAAACTATGCCACAATGTGCATGTTTTCTATGCTACTAGTTTTAAGTATATATTTATGACATAGTTTCATTAATAATTTGTTTATTTTTCACAAGGCAATAAATCGTTTCAATTCTTTTGGTGTAATTGGAATACATAATACTTCACATAAATCTTAACACTAAACTATGGCATTGGGCTGCAGGCATAATTAAAATAAATGTTATTTAAATACTTTTACTTTTTGTTTCACAAGCAAGATGCCAAATGAGCAAAGATAACCTTCACCTTTTGTTACGGCTGCCGCTGCCCCCCCTGTATTTGCCTGTGCTTTTGAGTAGGCTACCTGGTATGCTGAGCAGGCTGTGCAAACCCACACGGAGGATTGGCTGCACGAGGAGGGAAGGTCCCGCCTACTTCCTGGGTTTCCGGTGACCTTGCCATCGTTTTGTGCGGCGTGCTACTGTCTGTGCACCTTTTGCATTACTTCAAATAAATATCCTTTCAAACCAAATACATCCGGTTTATGTTTATGTCCCAATACCCCTAGACACCTCGTGACGTAACATAAGGCTCGTCCGGGACAGGCAGGCCTTTAAACAGGTGGTGGTCGTCACTGTCCTTTGATTGGCCCGTAGTAGCACGCCGCACCAATCGATGGCAGCTGGAGTCAGTGCTTCAAGAACCACCACACACGGACGTATGCAAGACATGGGTTTCAGCTGTCGCATTCATTGTGTCGAGCCACTTTTGAACAAGACACAGCGTCAGAAGCGTCTCGCCTGGGCTAAAGACAAAAAGGACTGGACTGCTGCTGAGTGGTCCAAAGTTATGTTCTCTGATGAAAGTAAATTTTGCATTTCCTTTGGAAATCAAGGTCCCAGAGTCTGGAGGAAGAGAGGACAGGCACAAAATCCATGTTGCTTGAAGTCCAGTGTAAAGTTTCCACAGTCAGTGATGGTTTGGGGTGCCATGTCATCTGCTGGTGTTGGTCCACTGTGTTTTCTGAGGTCCAAGGTCAACGCAGCCGTCTACCAGGAAGTTTTAGAGCACTTCATGCTTCCTGCTGCTGACCAACTTTATGGAGATGCAGATTTCATTTTCCAACAGGACTTGGCTCCTGCACACAGTGCCAAAGCTACAAGTACCTGGTTTAAGGACCATGGTATCCTGACCTTAACCCTATAGAAAATCTATGGGGTATTGTGAAGAGGAAGATGTGATACGCCAGACCCAACAATGCAGAAGAGCTGAAGGCCACTATCAGAGCAACCTGGGCTCTCATAACACCTGAGCAGTGCCACAGACTGATGGACTCCATGCCACGCCGCATTGCTGCAGTAATTCAGGCAAAAGGAGTCCCAACTAAGTATTGAGTGCTGTACATGCTCATACTTTTCATCTTCATACTTTTCAGTTGGCCAACATTTCTAAAAATCCTTTTTTTGTATTGGTCTTAAGTAATATTCTGATTTTCAGAGATACTGAATTTGGGATTTTCATTAGTTGTCAGTTTTAATCATCACAATTAAATGAAATAAACAGAAATATATCTGTGTTTGTGTAATGAATGAATATAATATCCAAGTTTCACTTTTTGATGATATTCTAATTATATGACCAGCACCTGTATATCCCTAAGCATCAAGAAAAAAAGAGAAAATCAGTTACCACTTCATTTATTGCTCTCAAATCATTAACCATACGGTAAGTCTCATCGGGTTTCTTCACAGGCAACAATGGTGTGTTACTCTGAGGATTTGTTATTATCTTCAAAACACCTGGTTTCAAAAGTCCTTCAATTTGTGGTTCGATCCCTTGAATTGCTTCATCCTTCAATGGATACTGATACTTCCAAGGAGGTCTAGCTCCTGGTCGAAGTTCAGCTTTTACTGGTTGGGCTGACTTCACAAGTCCAATATCGGTACTGTGTTGAGACCACAAACATTCAGGAACTTGTCGTAACATCTCCTCTTTCATAGAATCTGAATCCATCTTGGCACTGCAAATAGATTCATGTGTCATCCGTACAGCTTGTGGCTGTCCTTGTCCTTTAGCTGAAATCATGATTTTGAGGAATTGCTGATCTGTACTCCTCCAAATTGCCAAATTCTCGTTCATTGGTACAAAAACAGCTTCCTCTGCTTCTGTCATCATTTCTCCTATGTGTTTCTGCTCATAGTCTTCAGAAACCAAAAAGGTCTCATGTGGTACACTCTTCTCAATTTCGAATTCTTTCTCCAGATAAAGATAATCTCCAGCTGCTCCTTGTGGTCCCAAAATTATGCAACATGAGCTTAGTTGAATTCCCTTTGGTTATTGAGCCAACCATTCCTTTCGGTTTGATTGGGCAGCATTCTTAAAATACTTGAGCGTACAATGAAATGGATATTCCGGAAGTTTCGCATCTGGCATGTTTGCCACAATAAATTTTCCCATATCTTAGGCGGCTCCAAAAAATCTGCACTGAGATTTCCAATCCAAAATACTGAAGAGGACTCCATCTCTGTTGTCATCAGTAATTGGTGAACCGTTTCTTTTGGCACTTCTATCAGACAGCCATCTGGTGTACATTTTATTGTGCAATTCAATCTACACAAAGCATCTCTTCCCAATAAATGTAAATGCTCCGTATTTGTATAGCGCCTTTCTAGTCTTTTCAACCACTCAAAGTGCTTTTACACTACATCTGCATTCACCAGTCACACACATTCATACACTGAGCCTAAGTGCTCAAACGGAAACTAACATTCACACTCATTCATACACTAGCGGAATAGCCGCCAGGGGAAAATCGGGGTTCAGTATCTTGCCCAAGGACACTTCGACACGCAACCAGGGGGAGCCAGGGATTGAACCGCCGACCTTCCGATTAACGGCCAACCCGCTCTACCCCCTGAATCCTGCTCTGAAATTTCCTCCTCTGAAATTTCCTCCTGACCTATTGCACTCACGGACAAAGTGACCAACCTGTCCACAATTATAACACACTTCTGGAGACTGCTGAAAGTATGGATTAAATCCTCCTCTTCCTGAGCTTTCTCGTCCCCTTCCTCTCCAATTCTGCGTCTGTCCATAAACTAGCTGTGGAGATGACACAACTGGAACCACTAGTGGTGGTTGGGGCAATTGCGGTTGGACCTGGTTCCACTGAAGCTGTGGTGGTGATTGTTGCTTTGGTAAACACTGATATTTTCCACCAGTTGTATTTGATTGAGTTTTCTGAGAGTTACTTGGTCCTGTTCTTTCTGGTCATGTTCCTTTTTCCTATATAGATCCACTTGATGGGCTATATGATCTGTATAGACCCATATTGCAATGCTTCCAAGTCCAACCAACTCTGCCAGTTTGCTCCTTACTGGTGAGGGCAGCCCCATCTGTAGTTTAGCTCGCAAAATTGACCGCTCCATTTGACTCGCATCTGGAGCATTTCCTTTAATATTTCTCCACACCTGATGAGCTCACGACACATAGGCTCTCAGAGCTCTTCTTTTCCCAATAGATCAATCAGAATATTGTCAGGATGCACATTTGTTGGAAACGTGTCTTTCAGTGCTCTCCACAGTCGTATTCCCACTTGGAGCGAACAACTCAGGATCATTTACAGCAGTCCTCACATATCGATTAAGTCCAGCTCTCTGAAATATTTCTTCCATACCTGGAATCCCCAGGAGATTAGCAAAAAGTCTCTTAATATCTCCTATGGCAGTTTGTGTTCCTACCGTAATTTCTTCCAACTTCAAGATCCAAGGATGTGCTCCATCTTGAAGAATAGGCAACTTCTCAAGTATATCTGACATATCGGTATTCTGCAAAGGTTTATACTCCAGATTCTGTCCTCGGATTATCACTGGCAGCATCTTCTTACTTGTGCTCCCTTTTCTTGAGCGTAATGCATACTTCTTCTCCAATTTTTGGGACCCTTTTTTCCTCAGTTTCTCCCTCTGTATTGTCAGCTTCTCGAGATGTTCTTCCAATTCTCTTATTTCTTCTGAATAAGTCAACTTCTCCAATCATGATATGCATCAATCCATGTCTTTTTCTATTTCTTCAGTAGTCATTGTAGGATAAAATCCTCTTGAACATGAAGCACCTTTAATCTCCCACTCTTCATTGCTGTCTCCATCTTCACTTTCATCAGAGATCTGGTCTCCTGTATCCTTCTTCTTCCAACTTTCATCACCCCTTCTTTCCGCTCTGGCCAGCCTCCGTCCACCCATTTTCTTCTTACTTTTGGAGCCTGGATTCATCTTTATAGTTGTTTCTGCTTGTCCTCTCTCTATGATTCGTTCCTCTTCA